CGATATGGAGCTGTGACGTCATTCATTAAGGCACACTTGCACGCTTGTTTCTAGCTATCCCAGTACAAAAGCCTTCATTGATTCGGATGTTGGAAAATTCTCAATAATCAGTCTTCGTCCTACTGTCATCGTTTTAAATAAAAAGACTGTATTTGTACATGGGTAAAAACTTTAGAGCTGTTCTAAATTTTCTGAGCTCTGATCACATGTTTTTTGGTGGGTTTTATTTTAAAGAGTGAATGGTTTTCAGAAAAAAAAAGTTATTGGTTTACATTATCACGGGGAAGAGAATTGATGAAGTCTGCTTTTAAACAAATATTAACATTCGAGCAACATTTTCAGAATTGTTTGTATTTTTGACTGGACTGCATACAAATGTTTAAAAAGATGTACGGCATTTCTACTCCTGTTGATAACATGGCGCAAAATGTACACCTTTTCCTGCTCCCAACATCATCGTCATCATTGCCATCAATCGTCATCATTGCCATCAACCGTCATCATTGCCATCAATCGTCATCGTCATCATTACCATCAATTGTCATTGTCATCATTGCCGTCAATCGTCATCACTGCCATCAATCGTCATCGTCATCATCCTCATTGTCATCATCATCATCGTAGCCGTTGTCGTTGTTGTAGTCGTCATCATCATCATCATTGTTATCGTTAACTTTACATCATAGATTTCATCATTAGCACCATCATCATCGTCGTCTTTTTTTGTCGTCATCCAACGACGTCTTCATCCTTCTGCCTACATCTCTTTCATTGTTTTATTTATTAATTTTGGAATTTCATATTGAGTGAAATATCACAGGCACATCATATTGTCAATAATGTGTGAGATATAATTTAATCATATCGCATGTTTCACAGGAAGATGGTAGCAATAACATTTGAAGGTGTGATAAATATAGAATTGAAGAAAGCCACGATGACTTTTCATGTCATCTTGGTAAGACACCCTATTTCGTCGGTGGAGGCACAGGGTGGATACCCCCATTTTGTTTTGATAAATTCAAAAATACGATTTTCATACCATTTTGCCCAAAGCTTTGTGCCAGAATGCACCAAATCAAATTAATTTTTCGAAACTTTTCTTGAAAGGACCCTCTCAAACGTATTAATTGAGCTCGACAGTTGTCCCCCATTGAGAAAGTCTGTTCCTTATTTGTACCCCAATTCTCGGGAGGCTGGCGCCGCCACTGAGAAAAAGGGTTAACACGTGATACATGTATGCAAATTACTACTTCTTAATATATTACATACGTTTCGAAACATATACAGGTAACTTTCTATGCCAATATCCCATCTGTATATCCCGTCCGAGAAACGGCTTGGGTCAGATTTTTCAGGCTTAAAAAACATATGGGTTGTGATTGTTTTGATAAATATTTGTATAACTGTTGTTGTTTTTAAATATTTGGGGAACTGTAGTTATTTTGATTTTTTGATTATAATAGTATGACACGAGTCGATATTCTCTATGAATTGATATCAGCTTTGCTTTGGTGATTTCCTAATTCACTTAACTCATGGCTTAATTTGTGTCTTTGAATGGTCGATACTGGTCAGGGACACCAATAGGAGTATATTAGCCTGGTATCAGGTTTAAGAGGATATACTTTGAAAGAAAGAAACAAGTATATTTTACAAGGATACCAACTTAGAATTTAAGGATCTTTCTACCAGCTGGTCCTTTGCCATAACTCTTTGCATTGATCTTTCTCGGATTATACAAGCACATTTACAGCTGGGTCTACTGGAATTATGAAGTTACCAAGCAAATGACGCCGTGTAAAGAACCAACTCTCCAACCGACCGCACTATAGAACCACAGTATAGAAACATTGGCCTAGGTAACATGTTGTCAGTCATGTGGGTTTCTAATCTTCACTGGTGCAATAAGGTTCAGAAATGAATAACGCATAACTCCTCATTTTATTTCAGTCTATTTTGAACCATAATGACATTTCTTCTGTCTCATGAGATCGCGCCTTTTATCGCAATAAATTCTTACATAATATATTATGTTGTTGCGCTTCAGTCTTAAATTTCATCTTCAATTGTCGATTCGCTTTTCGGTTACAAAACCCAATGTAATTGTACTTTGTGTGGAACCTTGCTGATCATTAAAGGGTGTTTCTTTATCGATATGTTGGGCGTTGATGAGCGAAATATTCTGATCCTCAACCACTGGATTAACATTATCATAAATGTGGACTATCGGCAATAGAAGAGGTGCCGAATTGTCAATCTCAATCGCAAAGCTGAAAGGTTGCTCCTTGGGACTGAACCAACAGACGAAATATTGTGTAATAACAGATGATTAATCTCAACCCATGCCTGGATTCGCTCTGGCACTACTGGACACAACATTGTACAAGAGGTAAATTTAATACGAGGGGACTCCGATTTAAGAGTTTCACGTTTCTAGGCTAATGCTAGATAAATAGTTTAGAACGTATCATTAATTCATTATATCCTCGACTACTGTGTCTTTAAACTATAAAACCTTTATCTTAAATTCCACCTTCACATTTAGCTCTAGTCATAAAATATCATTCTGTCATATATAGCATATTGTCTGGTTTGTTGGTTTGTAGACCTACGTTTCCGACTCATCCTTTAATGATTGGTCCGCTCTTTGATTAGAATTAAATAACAATTACGTTTCTTTTTTGTTTTCTGTCTTGATTGCAATCTAACAAGACTTAGTTTTCGATCATTTCCTGTTACGCCTGGATTGGTTTATGAAATCGGTATTAGAACTCGACCGCGGTAGAAAGCTTGTTAAATTACAATGGAGACGAATATATCAGCTTCTTATAGATATTTGATGATGGGTTAAAGGTAAGCTTCATCAGGGACTTTCAACTATTTAAATAGTAGGTTTACAAGGTATTCATAAATACCACCTTCCTCTATACCTATTTAAACGGATGAAACAAGTTTCCACATTAAATATTGTTCCTTTATCGCAAGGGTTTGGTCAATACTGTCCCCGATGAAAAGGTTTGCAGTTTAAGCATACCAGGTAGCGGTTAGTATTGCCAACTTTTACATATTGCACCATTAAGCACTGGTATTTAAATAATATGTCAATTGTCCCTAATGTATTACCATGGTTCTTATGATTTGGGTGTTTTATTTATACCCAAACTGACAATGATTTCTAACGATCTATGACCAGTTTAAACAAATTATCCCATCATTGACACTCTGTGAAATGTTTAGGACAAGTAATTTCCTGGACGTGAGAAACCCGACACCTAATCCTTGGTTTTTACCTCCCTTGGTGTTATCCAGGTTACATTGTGGCAGTATTTCATTTCAGAATGTGTTGGAGAAAAAACTTTGCCATCACATTGCATCAGATTGTCTTAACATAATGGATTGTTGTAACATATTCGTGATCTTTGACCGATAGTTGGAAGTTTTACGTACTGTTTACGTGCACCAGATTGGCTAAAGGAGATGGGCACAAAAGAACAGAAACATGATGCATCAGGTCGTATTTACAGGAATATTTGTGTCTTGAACTATGAATCTCAGCTCACTATAGTTTGGAGTATAGTATATCAGAAAGGGGGGTGGGCGGGGTCAAAATTAAGGCCCTTACTCAGCCACATAACCTAATGATTCATGGAAACGCTACTGGGAATGTGACACTTACTCAGCCACATAACCTAATGATTCATGGAAACGCCACTGGGAACTTTGCGAGTACATCGGCGTTAACGTACTCTGTTTCGAATGTTAACTGTCAAGGTCTCTTTAAGGAATAAACTTATTTTTCAAGGATGATTCTTGATAAATTGATTAGACAGATGGAATCTTAGACAATACTTTAGAAAATTACTGAAATCGTGTCAGCTTACAATAAACAAGATATAGACGTATTAACCTCGCCATGTTAATTGAGTCTATGAGATAACCAATCTAATTATCCGCCCTTATTTTACTCTTCACAATTCTCTAGTGAAAAACACGTTTAGTCGTCTAACAATAAAGGTCGAGGGAGGTCGCTGTAAGAAGTGAAATATGGTAGGTTATTAAATTAAGGTTAGATTAAGAGAGAATTGGACGTCGATAGATGGCCTAATCAGGTTTAATAGTTGTACTATAATTCTCTATTAACTGTCCAACATAATTCGCTGGAGATTTAGGACGATTTGGAGCGATCTGAAGAGGTTTTAATGAATGAGAAGGATAAGGCGTTGATTTAGTTCCATATAATCTTAGTAGGCCCAAATAGATCGTTTCTCTTTTGAAATATGGGTGAAATAGATATTTTATTATACTGAGTTGAAATGTCTGGAGCTACGTTCATACAACTAGTTGTATGCTAAAAGCCTCGAAAAGGGGCTAGGTTAGAGATTCGGGCAATCTCAGATATCTCCCCTACCCCCCTTCGGGCGTCAACCTGGCTCCGCCACTGTGTATATCCTTTCACCTTTGCACTTATAGTGCCATAGCTTGGTCATAGTTTGGTATCAGATAAATCCACCCTATGAGCTCTTTTGCAAACAGTGTCTAAAATTTCCTTTTGAGTTTCGGGTTCAGAGATAGTATGATGACTTCTCTCTGCAGGTCACTACTATTCGGCGTCTGGATTTTGTGTTTTGACATTCGCCCTCATTTCCTTTCTATAGCAAATCTGCGAGGTGTAACTATGTGAACACTTTAACAGTCGTTGTCTTCGACATTTTTGACCCTGAACCATCGTATCCCAAATACGGATTTGGCATGGTATTATTAACCCGTATTTCACTTAGTCCACTAGGCGTGGAAATGAGATTCATTCTTTACTGAACATCTTCCTTAATTCTGTACCGTCGATATTAATCAAAACATTTGGTGAAACGCTGCTTTCATTTTGTTTACCATCGCGTCATAACGAGTGGTTTAATTCGAATGGCTGAGATTTCCTACAAAGATTCCAGGACCAATTTTGATTGGACAATATTTTTCTATGAATACGTAATTTTCCTCACCTGTATTACCACGGCCCGAGGAAATATAACGAATTGGGGTGTGGTTGGACATGATGTAAGGGCCGTTAAGACTTGGCAAGTAAGCTTAAAACTTCCAGAGACTTCTCTCGGTAAAAGTACGAACTCAATTTCGTCTAAGTGTCACACGGTTATGAAATCAATACATGCATCAGAATAGGCAGAACAACCAGACCTAATTTAGACTATTATAACAAGCTACTAACAGAATATTATCTTAGATGATCTGTTATAACATTAGATCTCGTATTCTATTACTTTTCATCTCTCATATTCCTCGATTTCTTTCTTTTAAATAACAATTTTCAGCTTTTTCCATACCCAGACACCAATTTTAGGATTAGAACCTTCTACGCACTGACTTCGTAATAGAAATTGCCCTATAGCTTATGATAATATCTGACTGCCTCCTCGATTTTCTAGCAATAATTACACTTCAGCATAGTATAATGCAGGCTTTTATACTTCGAAATGTCGGATTTTTTGACTAAAAATATCAATCATCGATCATTTTTAGGGATCAGTACACTCTCCAGACTTCCTGGTACATGCTTTTCATGATATAAATCTAAATGATTCTATATTACATGTCTATAAAAGAAAATCGTCTATATAAGCTCACTAGATCTGGAATATTTAGCTCTCAAATAGACAAAGCTATAATTACTATCCATTTTTGGGGAGCAAAACACAATATGATAATGGGTCAAATGGACCTCTGTTAAAGTACGCTTGCTCTGCAACCTTATTGACTCATGTGATAACCTTTTAACCACATGATCCAGAGCAATTATGTTGAATCGTTCACTTCTCATCAGATCCATGTGGATGTGCTTACGACATGGCTTTCGGGCTGTAATTTGGTAACCATCTGGATGAGAAGGGTGAGGGGACGGGGGAGCCGTGGAAGTGAAAATAGCTAGAATTCCAGAATTCCACAGAACGACCAAAATTGATCCTTCGAGATTAATTATGAAACATAATGGTGTTCTTTTATAGATGAATATATTTTGAAATACTCGTATTAAATTTATAATAGATGTAATTGTTGATTGTCAGAACGTAATTAGCTGTAACAATATGGTTGATATGGCTCTAGGGAGTCTACAAGTCTTATTATTCTCTTCTATTATATTACATTTTAATGGAATCGTTACAATAACATATGGTATAACTTTCTTGCTCTATTCTGGCCTACATCAATATCGAAATAGAAAAATTAAAATAGAACCTGAAACATGCGAATTAGATATCTAAAGAAGCCAAAGTAGTGAGAAAATAAAACTTAAGGACAAAATCGAGAAGAATTGATCAATTAGTTATCTCGAGAAATATTGAAGCTCTGATAGGATAGACGCTCAAAGAAGACCGACATAGGCTAAGCAAGCTTTGTTATTTGTATAAGAATCAAGAGCGGGTTGTAGCAAAGTCCGGTAGTGAGTTGTAATCTTTACGTTTTTTGCTTGGTTAAGTCGAACATATGGTGTCAGTCATCCATCTGCCCTCTACAAGTGCCAATAGTTCATCATTTCCCATTACCACTTATACTTTGTTTTTTATGTGAATTGACACCACGCATGTGAAACATAATCGACAAGATTCGTTCAGTTGTCCGTCAACGAACCCTTGGAGACCTTATGCCGACTTAATAAAGATTGACACTTCGTCTAATATGAATAATTTGTTCACTTGTCGATGCTACCTTACAGTTAGTTAGTTAGTGTATACCTTTTTCTTATTTCTTTATGAGAACGCTAATTTTTACCAAACTGTTATGAAGTCAAACAGCCGGAGCCTGAGATCAAATCTTTTGTAATCTGGACGAAATGAGCCAGTGGTGTGAAGATCACACAGCGTAAAACTCCGAGTAACAACTCGTTTCAGGTTTTAATACTATTTTCTATATCGCTCTACGCTTGTATTGGACACTATTTTTAACAGTGCTATTTCTATATCTATCTACAATTGATGTATTGAGCACTATTTTAACAGTGGTATTTCTATATCGCTCTACAATTGATGTATTGAGCACTATTTTAACAATGGTATTTCTATATCGCTCTACAATTGATGTATTGAGCACTATTTTAACAATGGTATTTCTGTATCGCTCTACAATTGATGTATTGAGCACTATTTTAACAATGGTATTTCTGTATCGCTCTACAATTGATGTATTGAGCACCATTTTAACAGTTTTATTTCTATATCTCTCTACAATTAATGTATTGAGTACTATTTTAACAGTGGTATTTATGTATCGCTCTACAATTGATGTATTGAGCACTATTTTAACAGTGGTATTTCTATATCTCTCTAAAATTGATGTATTGAGCACTATTTTAACATTGGTATTTCTGTATCGCTCTACAATTGATGTATTGAGCACTATTTTAACAGTGGTATTTCTATATCTCTCTACAATTGATGTAATGAGCACTATTTTAACAGTGGTATTTCTGTATCGCTCTACAATTGATGTATTGAGCACTATTTTAACAGTGGTATTTCTATATCTCTCTACAATTGATGTATTGAGCACTATTTTAACAGTGGTATTTCTATATCTCACTACAATTGATGTATTGAGCACTATTTTAACATTGGTATTTCTATATCTCTCTACAATTGATTTATTGAGCACTATTTTAACAGTGGTATTTCTATATCTCACTACAATTGATGTATTGAGCACTATTTTAACATTGGTATTTCTATATCTCTCTACAATTGATGTATTGAGCACTATTTTATCAATGGTATTTCTATATCTCTCTACAATTGATGTATTGAGCACTATTTTATCAATGGTATTTCTGTATCGGTCTAGAATTGCTGTATTGAGCTCTATTTTAAAAGTGAAAATATTTTGTTATTGAATTTAAAATATATAATATGCCGGGGGTCGCTATGACTTATTTTACCATGCTGGGTCATAAATTCCTTCAATTTACAGGAAATACCTGTCTCGGAAATTATTAAGGTTAATTACAATTTAACACAGTGGGAGATATATTTCACTAGACTTGCTAAAATTTGGTTAATCATAAAGTATTTTTTATGATACGATGAAATACATAACTCTTGTATATCTTTGATAGTCAATTAGCTCAATCGTGTCAATGGATGGTGTGTTCAGATCTAAAGTGGCAAACCAGAAAACGGATATGGCGTCGGGGCATTAGAAAATATATATGACAAAGTTTAGTCACAAAGCATAATTGATAACTGTAATACCAAAATGATATTGAAGCATTATCTAAATTATTATTCTTAATAATTGAATTTCGAGTTGTTCGTCCTTTTTCCTGTGGGTGACTGGGATGATTCCAAAATGATATTTCTGCGAGTGACTTGCAATTCTTGTAATGATCCACCGTGAAAGTTCCGAAAATAGCGGCCATTTTTACCGTTACCATTTCCACCTAGTACATTGTAATTAGTTCGAAGATCCAGATCTGCTTTCAATCGGACTGATTGGGATACAACGCTTAAATTTAAACACAGATGTAGTCTAAAACCGGAAGTGAGTTTATTTAGAAGAAGACATTTATGATGGTGGATATGCTTTTGAAAATTAATAAAAAAAACCAATTGAGTTAGATGATCACGGATGACGGATGTTGTAAATATCACATGATAGCCTATATTCCCTTGAAATATTTAACCAGAAGTTTTTGTTTTGACAAAAAAATGTTACAGAATTCAATTCTATCACGTGAAATTTCCTTCTGACCTTTGAAAATTGTTATGTTAACCTACATAGTTCCTAGGTCTCAAGTTTAGCTTTAGTTTTCTCATTTGTTTTCATCAAGAGCAAAACCAGAAAGATTCCATATGACTTTTACATAACGTTTGATATTATACCCAGAGTACCAAGCTCTCACGTTTCACGTTAAATACCCATTTGTAACAATCTAAACTATTGCTGGTATTTTATGGTAAAGTCACGATGAAGAGAGATTTATATCGCCATTTTTATCGTCCAGATTTCATGGTTGGGCACGTGAATTCATTCTAAATAGATGCCAGTTATAAAACATGAATGAAATTGGAAGGAAAATGAAAAGTGATGTCGTAAAAAATGAGTTGATGATTGTCGTAAATGGGTTCTTGTAAACTGTATATTGGTCCACCAGCTACTAATAATAAAGTGTTTCCTTGAACTGCTGACCTATTAATTGAGTTCTATTGACATTCTCTCCCACCCCCGCACCTATGTAAAGTTCATATGGGTGGTGGTTGCATTTGTAAAAGGAAAACTAACAAACTTTGTTACATTGTAGGATACCCACAAATAAAGTGTACTCGTTTTATCGTCCCAGAATATGCTCTCATCAGGAGCAAAAACATTCTCTTATCGTCTCGGAAGACGAGAAAAGGACTGACAACGTAACGCTAAATGATACCAATTTTTATGGCTGACAAAATTATTTGTTGTCTCAGAAATTACAATTGATGGTTCAGTGAATTTAGTTGTCTCCCCTGTATTGTGTCATTATTGAGCCCCTAAGGTTTGTTCAATCCAAGTCATTATGGTATATTGGATTTGGCTCTGAAAACAAAAATCTCTGACATCGTGAACATTGTGATAGGTACTATGCTATTTACCTCAGATTTAGAGTTAAATGCTGTTGTGTTATGGAATTATTTTTATGTCTTCATTCTATAAAAAATCAGGTAAGATTGAAAGAAAATATAGTGCCTTTTGTGTAGCGAATATAACAGTTGTGGTATTTTTTTTTATATCATAAACTAGAGTTATCGCCCTTAGTACATTTTCTGCATTTGTTTCCTCTGAGTTATATCTCTAACTGCATTATGCCTTAATTCGACCTTTATTTCAAAATAAAAAAAATTGAAATTAATTTTGAAGGAATAATCTAAGCTTACGATTCAAAGAGTTTTGGAATGGAATGACTTAAGGCCATATATTATTTGCTTTGAAATTTTTTTTTTATTATTATGTGTATAATACAACAGACAGTAAACGACGTTTCAGCGGCCTCTTCTTACTACTTTTTTTACGGGAAA